GCTTCATTCCTAAGAAGACAGTTATACTCTAGCCAAGTCCATGCACGTTCTAGGACATGGACAAAGTGCACTGGTCCACTAATATCACAAAGTATTGAATATATTAGTACGGGGGGTAATGTTGGCTATATATTTCATATAAGCCAATTGCAGCTTAACACGTGGCATGTAAAGGGTAATTTGGGGAGTTAATGCAAGTTTCCAACGAACGATGGACACGTGGCAGTTCATATTAGTAATGGTGGGCCTGCGTCGCATGATATGGCCCAACATTTACTTACAATTCAAATTCAAATTCAAGAGAGAAGCCCAACTGCAAAGAAGGCGTGGTGGGAGCAGATTGTTCAGGGCTATAATCAGAGATCGTGGAAGTGCATTTTGATAGTTGGAAGCCCACTTCGACAGTTATCTTTGGGAAGTATAAATAGAGGAGAAGGCCCAGGATGAAGGACCCAAACTCAAATCCAGAAATTAGTTTATTTACTTCATATTTTTTTATAGTTTTACATTTTCAATTCTTTATATTTCTAGCACTTTAATTCCTGTATTGCACTTCAATTCCAACACATAAGCAATGGAGTAAAAGCCTAATAAAATTTACATGACCAAAATTTTTAAACATAGTTGTTATAAAACAACCCACTTATCAAAGAAAAGTTAAGCCAAATCGGATAAAACTCTAATCCTAAATTAATAAAGAGCAATGTTATTCGCATCGAATTTTATGTCAAAATCGATGATATGTTGCATTTTAATTAATTGTTCATATACACCCACAAGATTAGCACCACTAAAACACATCATGTTTGTCGGTTTTGATTTTGTTGTGGGCTTGAACATCGTTTCTCATTAATAAATTGTGCTTGAGGTGAACTTAGATTAAGGTTAATGGTTTGAGAGGTTATACTTGGACAAAACTCAACTAACACACATAATTGTAAGGATGGGTTACATCAAGTTTGGTTAACTTAAAAAAGTGTACTTATTTCATCTTTTTATTTTTTTGGGTCACATCAATTAACATCTCCTTTCTACTTTTTCTACATATAATACAAAAAAAGTCAAAAAATACACTTATTTAGTCTTCTCAAACTTGGCCTTAACATTTAATGTTGAAAAGTCAAAACATGAATATTTTGTTTTTCATTTTTTGTAGATTGTTTTTCCTTTAAATCAGAATTTCATTTACTGAACAATTTGTTTTTTTATTTAAAAATTCATAAATTATAGTATATACATTTTCCATTTAAGCACTGAAAAAAAAAGCACATAAAATATTGGACTTGAGAAAAAATTGATGAAAATAAAATAAAATAAAATAATGAAATATAAGTTAAAAAATGAATAATTCAACTGGATGGTCAATTGAGATTAATTATCTCTTCCATGTTAATTATGTATTCAACCTATTGCAAGAGATTTAATAATTACATAATCTGATAAATAAAAAAAATAGTGAATAAATTATAAAATACTATTAAACATACACATAAGCATATGCATAATCTAGACCCATGTACTAATTTCTGCTCAACTGGACCATTTGTTGTTCCTTCGAGGACCACCCCAGTTGGAAGAGAAATTGTCAATATAAAAAATACAATGACACTATAAATCCATCTTTTTCAATTCAGAATTTATTTAGAAAAAAAATCAATGGTTCGAATTGATTGTAGTTATGAACTCTACATTTTATCATTTTAATCTCCACACAAACACATTCGGGATAAATTATGAATTCATAAGGATGAGTTCCTAACATTTTAAAAAAAAATAAGATTGATCTAAAAATATGAACCTCATATTGATAAAATAGTTGCCACTGTCGTTTTTTTTTTTGGGGGGGACAAACTTAATAAAATAAAAAAAATGTTAAAAATATCGGATTGATTTTTTATTTTTTTTTTATGAAAAATATATATTGAAGGTTTAACAAAATGAATAATTTAAATTATCAAAATGAGAGTTATGGTGAGCCCTTAGACCATCTCCAATGGTTACTTAAACCTTTTATTAAATTTGAATTTGATAAAAAAAATTATTCATTTTCCTGCTCCAACGATTTCATCAAATAGATATCAAATAGGGGATTTCACTTTTCTTTCATTAAACTAAGAGCATTTCCAACGGTTCATTATAATTTTCATTAAATCTGAGTAAAAAAAAAGTTGATTTTCTCAATCTAATACGGGGAGCTCCAATGGCGTGCATCAAAAGGGAAGGGGACGTTTGATGGGTCGACCGATTAGGCTTATCAATTTTTTTTTGATACAGACGAGGAGACCCTAAATTCTGATGAAGCGGAATGGAATTTGGTAGTTCTACATGACTTGCTGAACAGCAAAAGACTCCATCTCAGCCCTGACTTAGGTCAAGAAAAATTAGAAAACATCAAGCACTTAGTTCATAAGCTCAAACGAGTGAACTCCGCACACGATGAAGCTTTTACAAATTACATTGCATCTCTTGTGAGAACAAAAATCCAGAGCATAGATATATTACCGAGATATTGTTGGCATCTTATAGACACCCCATTTTTGACTGACCTTAAGACTCAGACGTCACCAGTTGAGCGCTTGGTGGTGTTGCATATTGTGCTCGTTCTGAGGTTGCGGAGTCTCGGCTGCGAGCCTTGCCTCCGGACTTTGGGGCTCTTTTGTGCTTTGTCTCGGTTTGCGAACCATGTTCTGTTTTCTTTGTTTTCTCTTCCCGAAGGGAGGGAGAGGTCTCGTAAACCATCTCTCAGTGGCCGTAGGCTACGTTTCGTGGTCGTAGGCCATTTTTTCCGTTTGGAGCCCCGTTTTCGATTTTCGGAGCCGTCGACCGTGTGCCTCAGTTCGGGACCGCTTAACTACCTCCGTTTACTCCAGTTTTTGGCACACATCTTATTTCCTCCCTTTAGAGAAACACTGTGGCCCTGGAGACCACCTTCGTGGTCATACGCCACTTCCGGTGCCTAGCAGCCTGTTTTCGGGACCCAAACCGCGTGTTTTGGCCCCCGAACCTTCGTTTTGCATCCGTTTTAGTCCATTTTTGGTGGGGACCCTATTTTCAATGTTAGGGAAGTGGTAGGATGGTGGCCGGCCACCTATTCCCCTAAAAATCCAGTTTTCTCATTTTCTCTCTCCAAAAGTCGATTTTTCTGGCAGAAGGCTGGTTTTTCCCACTTTTGAGCCACATTTTCTGGCTTTTCATACCACCTTGGTGATCTACTCATCTAGGAGGCCACCAATATGGGTAGGTCGACCAGTAATTCACTTTGACCCTTTTGAACCTTGCTTAAAAGCTAGCTTTTCTCTCTTCTGGTCACATTTTCTAGTTTTTCTCCACAAGGCTGTGTTCTACTCATCTGGGAGGCCACCAGGGGTAATTTAAGGATGCATAAACCGTGTGTGGACGTAAAGGAAGGGGGCAAGATCATGGAATCAATACATGGAGGAGAATGCAAGGCACATGTGAATGGAGTTATGCTGGCTAAGAAGATCTTCATGCAAGGGTACTCTTCAGTTATTGTTTTGTTGCAACGCCGAACCTTTGGGTGCCGGGTTTGGGTCATGACATACCCGTTGTCACTGGACCACTGCTTAGTTAAGCTTAAAGGCCTTACCCCCCGACCAACCACAAGATGAATCATAGGTATTGACCTCGTATGAAGGAAAATCCCGATCTCCCTTTTTACATCATTCGTGGACTGATTCCGACGGATTAGGCTCTTTTCCTCTTATGAGTACTTACTATAAAGGGTGGTCCGAAATCGGTTGAATGAATGCCTTTCCTTTTTTTTTAGGGTACGACATGCTATGGCAAAAAAGACAAGAAATAAAGGAAAGTCGCTCCCTCTCTAAGAATGAATGTTGGAAATTCTTCGATGACATGTTCCTTTGAGTGCACAATTTCTTAGCTGTGCCTCTTTGGTACCGAGCTCTTTGATGGCCTTTCTTTATCTGATCATGACAAAAGTAATAATTCGACAAAAGGAGGATTATTCAGAGCTCAATGGATAATGGGGATGGAATAGTGGTTGGATGGTTAGGACACCTTGGGAAGCGAGGAAAGTTCCACGTTATATCGGGCCATTCGAGATACTAGAAATGATTGATCCTGTGGCATATCGCCTTGCACTGCTACCTGAGATGTCCAATGTTCACAATGTATTTCATGTGTCAATGTTCCGGTGATATCTTTGAGATCCAGAACATGTCATTAATCATGAAGACGTCGAAGTTCAAAACGATTTCTCTTATGAAGAACAATCGATACAGATCCTCGACCGTCGTGATCAAATTTTCCGAAACAAGACTATACCTCTTGTAAAAGTTTTATGACGAAATCATTGTGTCGAAAAAGCTACGTAGGAAACAGAAAATCAAATACGGGCCAAATACCCACACCTCTTCAAAAACCAAGGTATGACAAGTTTGAGGACAAACTTATATTTAGGAGGGGAGAAATGTGACACACCAAATGTTCAATTAATTTAACACCACTTAATATTAAATTTTGGAAGCATGTGATTAAAAGAGTTAGATGTTATTAAATTTTAGAGTTGCTTATTTGATATGAACTAAAAAAAGTATATTTTTTTGTATATATATATTTATTTGAGTTATATCAATTAATATGTATTATCATTTTTTTTTAATTTTTTTTATCAATTTTTTTTACTTTTCTACATATTTTTTTTATAAAAAATTAAAAAGTACATTTATTTAGAACATCTCAAACATCTCCTAATCACAAAATAAATTTAAATAATTAATAAAATAAAATATCAAATCAAATTTATAATTATTTTATTTTTTCTCTCACAATCATTAAATTAATTAAAATTTTCAATCAATTTCTTAAATATAACTATTTTAATTAAACTAAACTAATTAAAAAAATTAAATAACCAACTAAAATAATTAATTCACCAAACAAATGAGGCCAAAAAAATTTTTGAACTGAAACAAGGCCAAGGTTATGTAATTTTATTTCCTATGATACACATGTACCGTAGTCTATCCCCTCTTTCCATCTCTGAACTCTCCTCTTCCTCTGCGGCTGCGATTCATATCTTCCCAAATCTCTCTCTCTCTCTCTATAAAACCCGCCGCCGCAAGTCGCGCCGCCGCCACCACCATGCCCGTCGTTAACCCTTTCTTCCAACAATGCCCCTCCGCCTCCCTCTCTACCTTCTCATCTCCCTCTCATTCCTCGTCTTCTCTTCGCGTCTCTGTCAAATTCACAGTTTCTTGTTGCATTCTGGAGTCTCCAGTCACTGTGGTCAATGGAAACATAGACCAGAGAGTTCCTGACAGGGAGGAAATTCGTCTCGGCTTGCCTAGCAAAGGTCGAATGGCCTCTGACACTCTCGATCTCCTCAAGGTACCCTCTCTCTCTCTCTCTCTATATATATATATATATGCCCTAATAAATTGTATGAATGTGTACGTTTATACTTTATTTTAACTTGTTTTTGGGTACTTGCAATAGGATTGTCAATTATCGGTCAAGCAGGTGAATCCTCGGCAGTACGTGGCTGCGATTCCTCAGGTGTTGTGCTCTTATCTGATTAGTGTTGTAGATGTGTTGATTGATTCATTGCATGTATAATCAGATGAAGATGGAAAATGGAATGAAATGAAGATAAAAGGTGTAAAGTTTGTGGTTTTGAAATTGTTAGATGTTTTCATTTGTGGAATTATCAGATAATGTATGCAAAAATAGTTTTCGAAAGCTGAACTAAATAGGAATTTGGTTTCATGCTTCTACAAGTGGAAATTTTTGTAAACCTGTAATTAAAATGAACTGGGTTTTTGGTGCATATGCACAGGGACAGCTTAACTCTCCACAAGGCCTTTAACCTTAAATGTAAATAATATTTGTTAGTTTTATATTGTAAATTATCATGTAAAATTTACAAGTCTCTTTGATTCTCATGACTAAAATTGTGGGGTTATTTAAAATATTTAGCTGTGAAAGAAAAGAAATTAAAAACGTCAAAAGTTATCAAATAAATAGAACTTATAAATTCAAAGTGAAAACTAAAATAGGTGAAGACTAAACTTGTAGGACATATTCTAAATTGGTGGGAGCCGCGTTTAAAGTGGCATTTGTTAAATCGGTGGTCGTTTTTATCAAAAATTTAAAACTTTTACTATGCTCAAAGGAGTAGATCTTTCTTTTTTCTTTTTTCATTTCTCTTGTGTTGGTTTTGTGGAGGTCTTTTTCAAAGTAGACCTTATTAGAAAAAATTAAATTGTATTATAACTTATGGTTATATTTGGAAAATGTGGGGCCTTTTTGCAAATGAGGCCTAAATCCATTGCCTCAATGGCTTTATACTCCAGCCGGCCCTGCGTATGCATGACCAGGCAGACATGTGATTGTGTAGCACAAGTAATATTGGCCCTTTTTTCTTGTTTTATCACAACCACTGCACAATTCCTTTCACATGATATATTTTCAGACCAATATTTATATGCATACATTCACATTGGGTTGTTCTGGAGGAGTGTGCTTATATGCTTCTAATTGATTTCCGACGATTTGGTTATAAGAAGAGAGCAAAAGTGCTGGTGATGTGTCGTGTTCGCAATTTTGGGGCATTTGATTGAAAAAGGATGCGAGGATTTTTTAGGACAAGTTTGCGGTTGTCGATTCTTTGTGGGAGAAAGTGTGTCATTGAGCGTCGTTTTGGGCATCTATTTCCCCTTCTTTTAAAGGGTTTCATTTTTTTAATTTATTTATAGAGATTGGAAAGCGGTTTGTGATGTATAGGATATTTTTGGGGTTTAATTGGTGTAATGGCCATTGGCCTTGAAGTGGGCAACTTGTCCTCTTCTTGTTTTTCTTTGTCTTTTATTTTTTATTAATAAGTTTCCTTTTGTTGCTGATTAAAAAAAGAGAGGGTAAGTTACCCTGTACTCCCCTGATGTTTGGAAAAAATACAACCACTGTCTTGGTTTTGACATAATTATATTGAGCTCCCTTAAGGTTTTAATTTATATAACACTTAGTTCCCTTTTCATCAATAATTTGTTAGTTCTTTATCCTGAATTTATACTCTGGAAATCTCGATAGTTATGTGGTTTTAAATGTTCTGAAAAACTTAATATGATGACTAGTCCAAAGTGATATTTGTTATTTTTATGAAGGTTATGCTTGTATGTATATTATTAGCTACCTATATTCCTGTATGTTTTGGCACACATTTTGGGTGCAACTCTAACTAAGCTGTAGCTGCAATACTGACTAACATAAATGGCAAAACTGCAATTCGTTCAACAGCACAAATAGCTTATTGTGTCCTTACGGGTTCAACATGCCATTTTTCAGTAGAGTGACATAGTAGTAGAAGTCACATAAACAAAGATGTTGGGGTGGGTTTGAGCCCTGCTGAAAATGTATATTGGCGTCAAAGAAACCTAGACCCAACCCATCCTGCTAAAGTTCGGGTTGATGATTGATGATTTTTCATTTCCAAAGAATATATTAGGCTATTTGGAGAAGGTTATTGGTTTTTGTTATTCTGCTTGTAATTGCCCTAAATAATTTTATGTTATTTAAGAATGCGTTATCAAGAGATGTACTTTGTCTGTTAATATGGGCTACAGAGGCAAAATTTCAGTCTCATCTACGAGTTAGCAGATGTGAACTCTGCAAGCCAATGCACTTGCTTACATAAATACTATTATACATTGCATGTTTCATAATGTTATGCTGTGTAAGCTTTCTTCTAGATGGTACTTTGTCCATTTTCAGCATTTGTTGTCATCCTTCCCATCTTCACTGAAACTTGTGAGTGCGTGAATACATTTTTACTCTCTCTTGTATTCATCCATTGGTTCAATGAATTTGATCAATAAAACCATGTGTTAGACACTATTGAAATATGGAACATATATATGGGGTAGTGTATTTTTTCTCTAAACAAAAATTTTGTTTTCTGCCACTTAGTTTATGCATTGTATTTGACCTCTTCATGCTCTACATTTTAGTATTTACAGTTATGCTTAAGTTTATGTCTTATGTAGCTGCATGACTTTTTTTAATGGTTGTTGCAGCTCTCAAACCTGGAAGTTTGGTTTCAGCGGCCAAAAGACATTGTACGGAAATTAGTATCAGGGGATCTAGACCTTGGTATTGTGGGTCTTGATACAGTTAGTGAATATGGGCAGGTATGAATTGTACAAATTAGTTTTTTTATTCACACAAGGGAGAAGTCACAATTGTGAGAAGTGAATAGTTGATTGTATGCTCATGTTTGATACCTGTTGAGCAAGTTTCCTACTATGACTTATAAGTTTTGTTCATTTAACATATGCTTCAGTAATCTTCTCTAATTAGTGATATGAAAAATTCCTTTTGCTTTTGGCTTCGTACACTTGTGACATATAAAGATGGCATCTCCCTCTTGATGCATTGTTTTTCTTAAATAAATTTGATTATCAAAAAAGAAAAATGATACCATCCTTACCGTTAATGTTGCATTCATCTTGGCACTGCTAATTTTCTTGTGCACTTGTTTTCATTTAGTTTGATTTTGTGGGAAAATATTAACAATTGAAAATTATCATGTGAATTACTTTTCATAGGGGAATGAAGATCTAATTCTTGTTCATGATGCACTTGAGTTTGGAGACTGCCGTTTATCCTTGGCAGTAAGTCATTGTTCTCCTTTAACACAATACAGCGGTACGTTGATTGTCACGTGGTTGTACGGTTGTGGGTATAATACATATTTTCTTTTTGTCAGATACCCAAATATGGGATTTTTGAGAATGTAAACTCAATGAAGGAGCTAGCGCAAATGCCTCAATGGACACCCGAGAAACCTCTGAGAGTTGCCACTGGTTTCACTTATGTATGTTGTGTTTCACTTTGTCCTATCATTTTTCTGTTGTATTATTTCTTTCTAAATAATTTTTATTTATAAGTTTCAATTAAGAAGTTTAGTTGGGATTAAGTTTCTATTCCATTCTTGTGCACAGCTGGGTCCTAAATTTATGAAGGAAAATGGAGTGAGGCATGTTACTTTTTCAACTGCTGATGGAGCATTAGAGGCAGCTCCTGCGGTAAAAGTTATTTTTTTCTGTAGCTTTATTATTTTTGTCAAGTTATGCTATCTCTCGTGAGTATTGCACGTGATGCTTGCCAGGGAGAGTGGACAGTACATGAAAGCTTGGCCATTAATGCCTCACATGTTCACAAATACGATACTTATTTGTCAAATATTTCTTCTATCTTGTTAGTGGTTATTTTTCGGGGTGGGGTGTTTATATTTATCTCCAGTTTCACATATCTGCACCCTTGATTTGATGCAGTCAAGCTATGTTAATTGACTCTTCATATGTGTGTGGTACCCTTTTTCTGGAAACTAGACACTAATGTAAGGGTATGGGATATGTATGTGACACTTGTAGTTGGACATTCACCTAGGTAGAAGCATGTCAAATAATTGAAGTTTACAATATAAGTATGTAAAAATGCCCTCTTTCTTCTTCTTATGATTTTGTTTTTTTTTTTTTTTTTTTTTTTTTTTTTTTTGGGGGGTAAAAATTTGACCTATTTTCTAATTAAACCAGTGAAGCAAAAATTTGAACCTGAATTCCCTACATGTTTCAATATCATTTTGAAGTTATCCTATATATATGTATACATATATAGGGGAGTTGGTACATGTACATATGTGTTTCATTTTCAAGATCTCAATTAGCTTCTTACCTGTTTTTTGATTTATTGTTGCCATTTGCTATGAATGTAATGAACTAACTGAATTTTGCTTTTTGATTTATTGTCGTGACATTTTAGAATTTTGGCACGCAATTCTGCCTTCGTTTTGTTACTTCTGTTTACATTATTATTATTATTTTTTTTTCAGTGATCAGATCACTGAATCTTTAATAAATGAAATTTTTAGAAAAGTTTACCATTCTTGACTTGCTATAAACATCAGCTTCCTTTTTGTTCTGGATGCTGTTTTGAATAGGTAAAATTCAGAACAGTGCATTTTTTCTAGCTCATTGTTTATAGCATTTTTCTTTTTGAAATTGGTTGCTTAGTACCTATAAAGTTAACTTATTTATTTGGCATTGCATAGTTCCTGGCTCCTAATGCAACTCATTTAATATAAATTGCATTATATATGCTAGTTCCCGATGGTATTAATATTAGCTGCTTGCTTTGTTGTTGAAAAAGATGGGAATAGCTGAAGCTATTGTGGACCTTGTGAGTAGTGGAACCACATTGAGAGAGAACAATTTAAAAGAAATTGAAGGTGGAGTTATATTGCAAAGTCAGGTGCACTCTCTTTGGACTTAACCAGGCATGCCAAACGGTCTTTGATAATTTATTTTAAAAAGGTCTTCAAGTATTAATTTGAAAGTCTCTCTACTTTATCTTCCCTTGTCTTCAGGCTGTCCTTGTTGCTAGCAGGAAGTCCTTGACCCAACGGAAAGGTGTATTAGACATCACACATGAAATTCTTGAAAGATTGGAGGCACATTTGAGGGCAATTGGACAGTTTACGGTGTGCATAATTTATTTTTTATGTTATGGTTGTAGTTTCCTATAATTTCATTGTCTCATGCTATTTATGTTAGGTTACTGCAAACATGAGGGGAAGCAGTCAAGAGGAGGTGGCGGAGCGAATACTGAGCCAAACATCATTATCGGGCTTGCAGGTGAATCAATCTCTCTTTCTCTCAAAGAAATGTGAAAACCAAACCATATATGTTGTTTTATCCTAGTACAAGTTAATTCTAAATGGCGTGTATTGTGGAAGCACTCACTGGAGATACTTTGATATTTTTGAATTATTGATTAAATGTTGAGTTCTTCTCAGTTCCAAGAGCTGCCTTAAATGCTTTTCATGTTTATATATGCAGGGGCCAACTATAAGTCCTATTTTTTGCAAACGTGATGGGAGAGTAGCAGCAGATTACTATGCCATAGTCATATGTGTGCCCAAAAAGTTGCTTTACAAGTCTGTCCAACAGCTGAGAGCAGTGAGACACTTTTTCTTTCTTTACTCAATATATGCCATTAATTATAACAATAGAAACTATTCCTTCCCAAGTTCCCACCCATCCACCCACGACACGCAGAGAGTTAGAGAAAGACCACAAAGTTTAGGGTTTAGTCTTATTTGGGGTAGAGAATGAGAGCTGCCACTTTGTGCAAATAATGCTGTAATTTAATTTTGTATCATGTCTAACTTCCCACTAGCTCACATTTATAGGACCAACTTTGTGTAATTACTTGCCATGTCAAATATCATATTACATATAGAACACGAAAACTTTCTGGCTCTGATGAGGACATCAAAATTTGACTAAGAACCACTATAGAATTTCTGGCACAATGGGCCAACCAGTTCCACTGGTTGTCAGCTTGTCCCTGATTTTCCAAGTAAAAACATGTTTCGTGTAAATAATGCCAGAAAATTGGCTTCCCTTGTCTTCAGGCTGTCCTTGTTGCTAGCAGGAAGTCCTTGACCCAACGGAAAGGTGTATTAGACATCACACATGAAATTCTTGAGAGATTGGAGGCACATTTGAGGGCAATTGGACAGTTTACGGTGTGCATAATTTATTTTTTTTGTTATGGTTGTAGTTTCCTATAATTTCATTGTCTCATGCTATTTATGTTAGGTTACTGCAAACATGAGGGGAAGCAGTGAAGAGGAGGTGGCGGAGCGAATACTGAGCCAAACATCATTATCGGGCTTGCAGGTGAATCAATCTCTCTTTCTCTCAAAGAAATGTGAAAACCAAACCATTATGTTGTTCTATCCTAGTACAAGTTAATTCTAAATGGCGTGTATTGTGGAAGCACTCACTGGAGATACTTTGATATTTTTGAATTATTGATTATATGTTGAGTTCTTCTCAGTTCCAAGAGCTGCCTTAAATGCTTTTCATGTTTATATATGCAGGGGCCAACTATAAGTCCTGTTTTTTGCAAACGTGATGGGAGAGTAGCAGCAGATTACTATGCCATAGTCATATGTGTGCCTAAAAAGTTGCTTTACAAGTCTGTCCAACAGCTGAGAGCGGTGAGACACTTTTTCTTTCTTTACTCAATATATGCCATTAATTATAACAATAGAAACTATTCCTTCCCAAGTTCCCATCCATCCACCCACGACACGCAGAGAGTCAGAGAAAGACCACAAAGTTTAGGGTTTAGTTTTATTTGGGGTAGAGAATGAGAGCAGCCACTTTGTGCAAATAATGCTATAATTTAATTTTGTATCATGTCTAACTTCCCACTAGCTCACATTTATAGGACCAACTTTGTGTAATAACTTGCCATGTCAAATATCATATTACATATAGAACATGAAAACTTTCTGGCTCTGATGAGGACATCAAAATTTGACTAAGAACCATTATAGAATTTCTGGCACAATGGGCCAACCAGTTCCACTGGTTGTCAGCTTGTCCCTGATTTTCCAAGTAAAAACATGTTTCGTGTAAATAATGCCAGAAAATTGGTTGGTTTTGGTTGAATCTGATTTGAGGCTTGTTTAATGTTTTTTTTTGTTGTGTGTGTGTGTGTGTGTGACTATTTTAGAGTTTGAATATAGGAAAACACTGTTCCATCTTTTTTGCGTTGAAGTCTACATTTCATGATTTGCAGCCTCATCTTCAATTTTTTCCCATTTCATTTCTCCTATAGGAAAACATGTTTCCTGTTTCATTTGCAGCCTCATATGGATTTTATCTGGTTCCTCTTAATTTTTGGTTCCATTTCTTCTTTGGCCTTTTGAAGTTTTTGGGACTCTCATATTGACTTTTTGGAACTTTTTTGCTTAACTGTATTGTCTAATGCAGATTGGAGGTAGCGGAGTTCTGATTTCACCTCTGACCTACATTTTTGATGAAGAAACTCCACGATGGCGCGAACTCCTTTCGAAATTAGGGCTCTAGTCATTTCTTTTTGTGGAATGCCTTGGGTGGTTTTGCATTCTGTGGCACAAACATGTTGAAGAAACGGAACTCGTGCTTTTAAAGAATTAGAGAATTTGCAGGTGTAGATTGGGCAGCAGCTTGTGACGTTAGAGAAATTTCCATGTCGTGATTTTTTTTTTTATGTATAAATTGAACTTTTTGCATCTTTTCGATGCTAGTTCAATTTTTTTTTAATTAGTGTTCTGTCTCTCTCCCTCCCTCTCTATCCTGTTGTAGCTTGTAACCATAATGTTTTTCTTATCAGCATTTGGAGTCTGGTGTGCATTGCATAAAATCCAATATAATCGGGACCTATAAGATAAACTCTCTCTCTCTCTCTCACACACACACTTACATATTGCAAATTCTATAAAAATTGCTTAACCTTGCTTTATTTGAATGAATTTATAGACTTCATGTTAATTTACTTGTTGCCAACACAATTAAGGTTTTTAAGAATTATTTGTAGTATCCTTATTATTAGGATCCATATTTTTCTGATTATTAGTAAAAATCACTACACGTTTGGCTTTTCTTGGATGAATTTTCTCCTTCCTGTTGTCCTAATTTGTTCTGGCGTGTAGGCTGAATTTTTCTATGGAATTTATTGCAAAAGGTTTTTACTTGTGGTTTCACCTTCGTTTGAATTTTCTGTCCTTCTATATTTTTGCAAAGGAAAATGCTTCTTTGGTTTACTTTACACAAAATCAAGATCTTACCTGGTAGAAGCAGCATGCAATTTCTTTATTATTTGGAGCAACTTAAAAGTTTTGGAATGGTGTTTAGCCATGGAATGCATTGAGATACCAATTGATCGCTGTCACTGCACAACCGTGTTTAATATTATGTTTGAATCTTGAATTTGTGATGAGAAAATAAAATGGAATAGAAAACATACGAAAAGAAAATGATTCTATACAAGAAATGAGAAGTAAATGCATGAATCATTTCCTGCAGATAGCTCTATCTGACGATTCCTATCCCATCAATTATTAAAAAGAATTATGAAAAATAATGAATGTGGCAACAATAATGCCATTATCACAATAGTTGATTTGGATCATGGAGAAAAAACACTCTCCAAAATCAAATGGGGCATTGCAACAAGTTTGGGGATAAAATGATAAAAGGTTCATATCTGTATTGTATATATTTGTCCCTCACAAAGATCCTATACAATCACAAAGAAGAGAAAGCATCGCAACCCAACAAGTTTGGAACTATACAAACTGTCAAATGTGGTTTACTCATCACGTGGCTGCTGCACCAAACATTTTCTTCAGTATTCATGACATGTTTTCTGAACACCCTTTATTCATCAAAGATACGACGTGTTCTTCTGTATGAGAGTTGGGGTGTTACAAAAGTTGAACTGCTGCAATAGCTGGTATTTTCTCACGCAGTTTCTGTGTGACAGCCACACGAACAGTCATGACCCCTGCTGCTGGACCTGTGATTCGAACTTTCACAATTGGCTCTTCGATTGCTACCAGTTCAAGAGATCCACCCGCTTCCCCAACTAGGTAAGGCCTTATTTCTTCGAGGACCTAAAATGATTTATGGTAGTTTATCAGCCAAACGTGAAATGAAACAAAAGAAGAGACTGGGTAATTTGAGTGTAGATAATCAATCGCACAACCAAACACCATACAAGTTTCATTATGTACAATAACATGCCAAATCAAACTGTGGCCAAAGAAGTATTTCCAATTCAAGCCATTTTATCACGTCAGAATATACAAGTATATGCATACATTTATCTATAAGCTACTCATTCATCAAATAACCCAAAGTTCACATTCAGGAAACACTAGTTTATGAGCAAGTTTATTGATTTCCGAACATTTTCTAAATGATTGTTAGAGCATATGCACAAAAAAAAGGAAGGGGTGTGTGTGTGTGTGTTTTTAGAGATGGAAAAGTACTTAAGCTTAGCTTACTACTAGAAATATCATTGTCCAGAGATGGATTTAAACTTTAAAGCCTCATCAAATGATGGTTAGAGAAAGTTAGACGACACAACATGCAATTGGCTTTACAAGCTATGGACAAGAAGGACCAGATAGTAACTCCATTAAGCCACTTCAAACTTTGAAGTAACTTCCACATTCTCCTGCCATTCTCAATCGGTAACCCAGTTTCCTTCCCAGATTTCTAAAGTGGTAATGTAGCACCACCGTGCCAAAAAGGAACAACTGATTCTTATGCACTTTAAGATGTGGAACAAACAAGGTGAAAAACACTTGTGTGCTTTAAAAGTGGAAGCATTTTAAATGTAACCAGTGGATATGAATTATTACCTTCTCTATGTTTTCTTCATTCAGCTCAAGGCCAGTTTCTTCATCGGCAATTGGTTCCACCGCAACTATTTCAGGCATCTTTTCCATTAAACGACGCTCGATTCCCATCTTCATAGTCATTACAGAACTTGGACAGGAGCCACATGCTCCTTGTAGCTTCAACCTCACAACATTGCCATCAATTTCGTGTAGTGCCACATTACCACCATCGGCAATGAGATACGGTCGAATTTCGTCCAACACACTCTCCACATTTTCTGCAGTTAGGGGCAACTCCACAGCTGAATCTGGCGTGGCAACCGCCTTTACAACTGCAAAATAGCAAACAGGAGGAATTAGGTACCAAAAAATGAAAAATAAGAATCAAATTTGTAAATATTTTCAAAGGAATCAAATGCTTTTACAGTCATTCTATATAATTTTTTGTTTTTTTGATAAGTATGATATATATAGAAAGGCATCACGGGCAATGCAACCCATGAACAATAAGACATGGTGGCCCGTGCAAACCTTGCAAAACCCATACTGACACAACCAAACCAACCAGAAATAAGCATATAGATCTAAATATATTAAAAATAATCATATCTCAAACATCACTTGTAGTTTTAGTTGTTTTGAGGAAAATTTTGTTAAACCAAACTCCCCATTCTTTCCTCGGGAACTAGAACAGCCAAAATATTCAAAATTTCTTTGACATACTTGGTATATGTACCCCAAAATATGTCTCTCTCTCTCTCTCTCTGTCGGTAAGATTCATAACAAAATGATAGAAGAAAATAAATAATAAACTGCCTTGTATCAATTCTAAGCCAATATTGAGACATTGCTGAAACTTTTCTTCTAACATCATCACCCTGATTCCAATCTGGGTACCTTACCCTCAAATTCAATCAGCTTACCATGACAAGTCCTAAATATACGTCTCAGAAACTACATTTAAAATAAATAAATAATAAGCAAATGACACCTTTCCAAACATTTCTAGAAAATTATTCATTTTAGCCAAACATCTAAATAACAAGAGAGTTTTGCATCCAATATAATCCTCACTGTGGTTCATGCCCCTCCTTAACCTCCAATTCAATCAACACAATGCCACAAGTCAGACAATGAGACAAATTTTGTTCACAACTAGAGCATGTTTCCAAACTCACTAGCAAGCATACACTTTACACGACATATACCAAATGGCAAATCGGAAATGGATGTTCCTAAGGTTCCTACAATTAAGTAAATTCAAAAACATAGATACAACACTACACAAACAGTCTCAATATCAAGAATCAAGTCGTATCTAATTAATTGATTATCACAATAAGGTGAACTGAAGAGAACGAACTTGCAAATTCTCCCATGAAGACATTCCAAACCTTGTAATTTTTCATCAATAGTATGCATTACGAACTTCACGATTCAAAATTTTGGTCAATAATTGATTTACTGAACACGATTAGGATTAAGCAAAAACCAACCAAATAGGATAAATGACTAGGGGATCAATGTTAAGGCTATGTTTGGTTGGGAGATTTAAGAAGGGATTTAGAAAAGGAAAAAAGAAAGGAAAATATAAGTGAAATGTGAATAAAATATATTTATATTTCACCTAATTTCACACAGATTTTTCCTTTCCCTTTTTCTCTCCCTTTCCAAATCTCTCTATAAATTCACCGAGCAAACGCACCTTAAATGATACATGATGGATAAACAATGAATTGAGTAATCAAGTGCGCAGTTCAAAAATGAAAATGGATTCAAACGCTTCTAAACAATAAAAATAACAATGTGAAAAAAGCAAAAGCCCTGACTTTCACGCTGGTTTCTTCATTCTATAAAGCAATACCCCCATCTAACGATTATATATAACTTCAAAAGATAACTTTTCCAAACTACCCACTACCACAATAACTAACCAAAATCAAATTTATTTAAATATTACCCAATAGAGTCCTAACTAAATAGAGAAGAAGAAGAAGAAGAAGAACAACAACAACAACAAGGTCAGTCACCTCGCCTGTGTATCCCAGTGGGCACGGAACGTGCAAAGCTCTGCTGCACCAGATTGCTTCTCCCAGATAGAAAAATTCGAGGGCCAAAGATGGAGTTCTGATAAAAATTGAGCTGGGTAAGAAATAAATTACTCATAATAAACATAGAAATACAAGTAGATTCATACAGAGAGAGAGAGAGAGAGACCTTGAAGGGTGAAGAGGGGTGGAAGAAAGGTGTTGTGGATGGAGAGGAAAGAGAACAAGAAGGTTCTAGGGTTTGTTGGGCCCTGCAGTAAGAATATGATGGGTTCAACACCGCAGTCTGCATCTCTCTCTCACTCCCTCGGTTTCTCTCTCTGAGCTCCAACAGATGAATCTACTAGGGGTTTGTTTGGTTCGAGCAGGGGATGAAGAACGATGAGATGCTGCTGTGCAATAAATAAACCAATAAAACAAAACAATAATCGGATCCAAATTTTGGGGAATCGACTGTTCGCTCCCTCTCTGTCTCTCTCTCTGGGTTAGGTGGTGTTCACTATTTCGTTTTGAGCCGTCTATTTTTCTATTTCCGTTTTCTTTATTTTGCTTTGTTATTTAGGTTGGTATTTTAATAATTTTAATTTTAATAATTTTTTTTAGAAAATGTCATTTTTGTGTGTGTATATATATACTAGCGATTGGTGCCTAGAGTATTCTTTGAAAATTCCTAGAAGAATATGGAAACCATGTAACATACTCACAGAATCATGCATAATATAGTGATCAATAGACCTTCAATGTATAATTAAAGGTCAAATTATGAATATACAATCAGCAAACAAACCAATTTGGTAATATATATATATACTAGCGGTTGCCACACGCAATGCGTGTATAATTCAAATAAATAAAAATAAAATAAAACATTTAACATATATTATGTGCTAATTAAGTGGTAAAAATCTTATTTATATGACATAAGTCTAAGGTTCAAATCCCTTCCTCTCATCTATTTAATTCTTTTTTTATTTCAAATAAAAAAATAGACACGTGGCAATATAAGAAATAAAGGCTTCAAGACACCATAAGGTGTTCACTTTATAATAGTATAGATAGATATATATATATATAATCAGGCTTCACAAATGAGTTTCAGGATTTTGTTTATCTTTTAAGAATACAATTTGTTTTGGGGTCAGCTTGCTGGAAAGTAAATCCCAATTACCCCCAGTCACTCCTAAATTATTAAATTAAATGAGTCCTATTTAATAAAACTGAGAATATTATTAATTTTTTTTAATTTTTAAAACTAAGAACATTGTTAATTTTAATTGTTTCACTAACTAATAAAAAAAAAACACAATATGAGATTAAACGTTCTTATCTTTCTATTTATTGATTCAACTATCTAACAAAATCGAGAATATTATCAATTTTTTCATTTTTAAAGTGTTTTTTTTTTCCAGTTTTGCACATTAATGTTCTATCATCATACGCCTTTATACAATTTTGCACAAAAAATAATTCAATTTTTTCGAAAAAAAAAACATGAATAATTTTTTTTTTTTCAATTTGAAAGTTGATATTTTAAAATTTTAAAAATCAAAATAAATGTTGAATTATCATATTCCTTTATAGATAATTGTTTGAAGGGCAGTTCCGACTATTAAAAATTTAATAAAACTTGAATGTTCAAAAAATCTTAGTTAATGGAGTATAGTTTCATAAATTAGGATTTGTGTGTAAATGTCCCTAAAATAAATATTTATTTTAATATTAAATAAAGATTAAATTGGAGAAAAAGAAGTCATTTAAAATTAAAAATGATTCTAATTATTTATTTTGATAATCTTTTTTTGGGTGGATTTTTTTTTTTTTTTTTTTTTGATAATCTTAACATTATCGTTTTATAATAGTACTAGCGTATGCCCGTACCTAAAGGTACGGTATAAATAATATTATAATGAAAATATAATTATAATTTATACGTATCATGTTAAAATTTATGGAGTCTGTAGTATTTTTTGATAAAAATATTAAAAAAATATAAAGAAATACTATTTTTTTTAAAGAACTTGTAATAATTTTACTTGTGTCACACACTCTACATAATTCAAATAAAATAACAACTCCCCTAACCTTAATGCAAATTAAGAAACAAACATATAATATTTAAAATGTTCAAAATATAAGAGCAAGCCAAAAAAAATTATTAACACTAAACAAAATATACAAAAAAAAGCTATTGCACACTTGCTACCATTCAATAATAAAAAAAATTACTGGACACCAAATAAAACACACTACAAGTGCTCTGCAATCTTAATAAACTAATATATGCCCGTGCCTGAAGGCACGGTGTAAATAATGTTTTTTTGAATAATTTTCATTTATTATTCTCTCTTAAGCTAGGAACATTGACAATCAAATATACCTAAAATTTTGTCTACCCATGACATACAAAATGGATAGATAGCATGCATTTGAGCAAGAAGATCCTCTTTATTATATATATAACTTCAAAATAAGAGGAATAACAAAATAGTGTTCTCCCTTTGGAGCACCCCATGCCAATACGAAAATGGTGTTCTTGATCAAAATCCAAATAGTAGACACCTCCAAATGTTTACCTCTCAAACCAAACCAAACCAAACCAAACCAAATCTATATAAGTTTACACAACGTTAATCTGCCTCTAAATAATCTCTAACTTCATACAATGTCAATCATTTTCAAAATTTGGCAATGATAAAACCAAAAATAGTATAAATTTTGCCCTCAAACTCCTAACTTTGCACTAATATAAATTTATTGACGTGCAATGCATGTACTTACACTACTAAACATAGTCAAAAGACGCTTTATGGGTAAAGAAACTTATTTTAACTATCAAAACAAATATTAAAAAAGTGTATTAGGATATTCACAAATTACTTTCACATATACACATGACAAAGTTTTAAATTTACACTTGAAAATGAAGTGCATAGTTCCATACACTTGAAAATGACAAATGAAGATAAGTTTCTTCATTAGCAAAAAGGCAAAAATAACTGTAAAACTAACGATGCCTAAGCTCTCCTACATTCCAAAACAATTACCAAATCATTTAATAGAAGTGTTTAGATGAAAATCAAAATACTTAAGACGAAATTTTAAAGATAGAAGGTTTGGAATATATAAAGCTTAACAAATTGCTTAAAATTTCAAAGATTCTAAATAACTCAATTAAACTAACTTAGAACAATGAAATTCTCAACAACCAATCAGAGACTTCTAAAAAAATAAAAGGACTTGCTAATGAGATTAATGAAACTTGAACGGTATGATATTACAAATTCAAACCAATTAAGTCATTAATTTCAAAATCAATTAACTGAAAAAATTCAAATCCTAATCAAATCAAACGGATTAAAGCCATGCACTTGAACATGAATTTGAAATCTTAGTAAACAAAAACTCGAACTCAGCTTTTATAGTTGTAAAACAAATTAACTCATAAATTATATAATTCTGTTAAAAGCCTATTCGTTGAAATTGTTTAAATGGTTGAATTTACAAAATCATTGCATTCATATCATGCCCCAATGTGACTAAACTAATCATGTAAATGAAAAAGTACTTTAAATAAGAGTAATTACACATATGATTAATTTGAAAGTCATTAATTACATCAACTACGACAACTTTAAAATTGAAATTGTTGCATTAAAAAATAACTAAAGTAAAACGACTTAAAGTGGTCCAATAGTTGTTTTAGTAGCAATATATGAAATAAATAAAAAAATCAAATCAAATCAAACGGATTAAAGGAATGTTATTTAGAGAAAAAAAAGTTTAATATGAATTGCTAGCATATCACTCATGCCTAAAAGCACTCTTATATAAACAGCTTAAATGGTTGAATCTTTTCTCTATAAAAAATAAAAAATAAAAAATAAAAAATAAATCATATAACATGGAAGTTTGAAGAGATTACCTTGATTGGATAGTTCAAGGGTGCCATTGGTTTGTTTCCTTCTATCAATGAACAACCCCGGACTCTTTCAAAAGCTTCTTCATCTCATCCAATTCCTATAGATTCATATCCAACCAACAGTGGTAGAGTATTTAGCATGAATAAGGAAGAAGATTAAAACAACAAAATTACTTTAGGAACATGACATATTTCAAAAAGTTATTTAGGAACATAAAGTCTAAATAGGAGTATTTAGAAACATGACATATTGTCACAGTACACATTAAAAGTAGAAAATTTAAAATTTACTTGGCAAAAGTGTCATCCTTCAAAATATATAAAAACAACGCCCAAATAGTACACATTAAAATCCATTTAAACTATTAAGATAACTGTGGAATATAAAATTTTATAAAATTCATGTGAGTTTACCACTTTGGATGCTATTTAGGATTGATGATACAGTTATGATATAACGGGTTCCAGATGGAATGGGTCGGACTGGTCCATGCTTCTCCAACCGGTATCTGGATGGTCAAGCCCACCAATGAACCTGCACACGAGTTCAACAGGGAACGGGGAGTCCCCCAGTGAACCCTCCGACGAGTAAGTTAGAAAAAGAGAAAGTGGGATGTAGGGATATGAATTAGAGATAGAAAAGCTTAACCTTCTTCTTGTCTTCAGCGTCTGCTTATATCCTTTGGTAATCATTTCGTTGTCTCTTCTGACCTATCACCTTGGCCAAAAGTCTATGCTGTAACTTACCTTGTTCAGGGTGAGGGTGTGCTGTCCCGACGGAGAGGTGTTGTCATAATAAATACTGTGAGGGACTGCATTAATGGCGATGTATAGTGGCAATAACTTTACAGATCTTTGTCTGCTGATGTGGCTTGCTCTTTACCTGCCACGTGTCTGAATATCATTGGTCCTTCATGTCATGTTGACTTCCAGCAGTGTTGGGCCTTATCAGTTGGGTTATGTATTGGGCCCTAAGTGGTAGGCTTGGGTTGTTTATAGTGGATTATGGCCTTTATGGGCCTATCCACGTCAGTAGTCCCCTATTTCCAAGTGCAACTTTAGTCCAAGGAAGGGAATAATGAGGAAGATGGGGGTTGAAGGTCGAGTGAAAGGAAGGACCAACCAGAAGTGGCCGAGTGGAGGGACCGACCGCGAGGAGGGCCGACCGCGAAGGGTAGCCGAGTGGAGGGACCGATCGTGAGGAGGGCCAACCGTAAAGGGTAGTCGAGTGGAGGAACTGACCATGAGGAGGGCCGACCACGAAGGGTAACTGAGTGGAGGGACTGACCATGAGGAGGGCCGACCACGAAGGGTAAGGTAGTGGGGTGCGGGGCTCGAGAGGCGGTAGGTCACGTGATGACTTGAAGTGGAAAAGACAGGGTAGGGGAAGGGGGCAGTGAATCGTGGCCGTACACGTGGCAGAATCACGTGGTGGGGAAGGTTAGGAGTTGGGCCAGAAGTGAAACAATAGGTCATTATGGGTGTTGAAAAGACAGTTTTGGCAGATGGTTAAAATTTTTTCAAACTGGCGAAAATTAATTGTGACCCTTGGAATACAGGCAAGCCTTAGGCTTTTGGGATTATACGTTTTACCT